GTGGCTGAAGGTGAAACAGAGTTGGCTTGGACAGACGGAGTAGCTCTCAGGCGCTGTGCATACAACCTTCATCCATCTTCGCTTACAAATTTTGTCAAATGTAATTAATTATTTCATTAGTGTTATAATTATCATAGTTGTAAATTAATCTTGTTGTGATTAATTAGTTGTAGCCAGTTAAATGTATAAAGTGTTGTAATTAATTAGTTAGTTAATTACTTATTCAATTTCGTTTTATAATTAGTTAGTTAACTAGAATAGTTAGTTAATTCATATTCATTTGTAATAATTAGCTTAATTAGTTTAGTTTTAATTAGTTAGTTTATTCGAACTATCCTTCATGAGAGCGCAATGTAATAATGTGTATGTCTTCCAACCATACGTCTTTCTCTCTTTTATTTATTTGCTTATGATGGTTAGTTTAGGGACATCATGTTTTGATTAGCATAACTCATGTTTGCATCTATTTGTATTGCATGCACCGAGGCTTGATTCATCATTCTAACTGCATTGTTAGTTAGTTTCAATACTTCTTTGAATACGTGCTTAGACCGCATACTATTTAATTGTTTCATATGCCATATTAGTAGCCGAGCCTGTTTAGTTGCATATCGCATGTGTTGCATTAGTTATAATTGCATAGTTAGAATCATGCATTTTTTTAACTAATTTCTCTTTTTGACTTAGAGTACTAGGTGGGCCTTTACTCGTTTTAGCATAATTGCATGAGTGCTAATGTTGCCATGTTTCGCATGCGTACCATGAGGCTAATTGCTTAAATGCCAAACTGTTTGTATGCCTGTGGATGAAGGCTTAGTGCTTGAATTGGAATAATTTGAGTAATGTTTATATACGATCACTTTTTCAAGTGGTACATATTTCGAAACAATTTTCAAAACAAACATGACTCGAAATGCTCCAATTCTTGCAACTTAGTCTATACTTGTGTGTGCGCATCACATAGTAATACTAGCCTAATAAACCGAAACAAGAGTATATACTATTAATAAAAGTCATATCATGATTAGTAGAGGCCGATCTTTGATCGGGTGAGCGAGGGTGCTCAAATGTATTCATGACCTTCCCTTCTCGTACCTAAGTTCCCGAGCCGAGACAATCTTGGTGATGACGGACACGTAGTCTTTGGCACGAGTTATGGGTTTCTTAAATTTCTCAAAAATATTTAGGTGGCAACTTTGTATCTGGCAAAACAGTCCATTTTTGGCAATTTGATTCAAAATCGATTTTCCAAAAGATTTGCTGGATTTGGACTCTTTGGTGTTCATCAATTTCACATTACACTTGTGAAATTAGATTCAGAATCGCGAAAGTCCGAACTGTAGGGTTTATTTTGAACTTCCGAAAGGGGGTGTGAAAAAGTTGAGCTACACCATTATACCATCTCTTTCTTTCATTTATCTCTCTCTCTCTCTCTTCACCAACTCTATGGTTATTCATCGTCTCTATCATTTTCATCCTCTATTAGCATCGCTCATCCTCACCGTTAGCCGGCAACGACCATTTTTACCGTTAAACCACCACCATCTCAGATTTAATACCTATGAACTCATATTTGAGATTAATAACTTCATATTAGAGATTTTAAAAAAAAAAAAACCCTTAGATTTGACCGAAAAATGAGAAATCGATATATTATAATGAAAAATTAAGAGTTTTTTTTTTTTGTTTGTTCATAGATCTAAAAGTTAAATTTGACTCTGATTCGTTCATTTAATATGTACTCTGTTTTCGTAACAATAAAATTTTTACTCTGGTTAATAACATATTAATCTGCTTAATGACAGTAACTCTGAATCAAAGTAAAGTTTATTATAATTCAAAGTAAAATTTTATTTTGAAGCAAGCTGCGATGATGGCTTTACAGAAGAGTTTGTCATGAACCACAGTAAAATTTTATTGTTGAAAGAATAGAGCATCATGAGAAGAAGAAAGAGAGATAGAAAGATAGAGTTTAAAAAATAGATGATCAAGAGAAGTAGAAGAAAAAGAAGAGAGGGAGAGAAAGAGAGAGAGAGAGAGAGAAGGGTCTCATATTTGAGGTTTGCGAACCGTCGCAAATTGTCATTTTCCAATGACAACAATTGTGAATGATCTCAGATCTGAAGTTGTGGATGCAACAAATGATAGTGGTGATGAAGACGATAGAGAAAGAGTTCTATGGTGAGCGGCGATGGTGCCGATGGATAGCAGCGATGGCACAGATGAAGAGAATAGTGATAAGTGTGAGACAGAGAGAAGAGAGATTGAGATAAGAGAGAGTGATTACGAGTTGATACACACACACATACATATATATGAGGGTATCATAGTAAAAAAAAAAAAGTTTTAAAATACTAGGGGTTTTGAAAAGATCCATATAATTCTTGTCCTTTTGAAAAATAAGTTAGACTTTGAGGGGTCTATCACCAAATCCCCTTAAATGTTAAACATTTTATTTTATTTTTGTTTATGTAAATTGCACACGCATTGCTGCTAGTATTTGTATATATGCACTACCCAAGAGACACATTCAATGGAAACAATTTAATAAGTAGCCTATTAGAACACAATCAATTAGGGGTGTACACGGGTCGGTTCGGCTCGATTTTACCTTTAAATCGTCAGCCGAACCGACACATTCAAGTTAGAAAACCAACTACTCATCATCAACCGAACTACAGTTCGAAATCGATTAACTCAAAAGTCACGGTTTGGCGGTTGATTCGGTCGATTTCAAAAATCTGATAGGAATTTGTGAAAAAAATGGATTTAAGCGTTCAAAACAACAAATTAAGTTTATGTTTATACACTTACAGATTATAGATCTATGAAAGAGAGAGTAAAGCAAAGAAAATGGGGAGGAAGTGAAAGGGGGAGACCGCCTTCACTTATCGCTGTGGCAACCACCTTCACTCATCACAGTGCCATCGCTCATTGCCACCAACACCAACACCATTGTTAATTGACCTCATCTGTCCTGGCCACCACCATCACCACTAGAATAGAAATGGAAAGAAAAATAAAGAGAAGCAGAAATGAAGGAGAGACTGAGAGGTGATGAGTTCGTCTATCAAAGGAAGAGAGAGAAAGTGTAACAGAGAGAGAGAGAGAGAGAGAGAGATGGAGATGAAAGGTTTGAGAAGTCAAAAGGATTGAGGAAATAGAGAGAGTCACAAAAGTAAATGAAGTTGTCAAATCTCTGTGAGAGAGAAAAAAATAGAGGAATATATTTTTCTTAAGGAATATATTTTTCTTGGGAAAATAGATATGGCCTTGGAAAACATATGTGGAGTATTATATATCTCTCAAATTTATTTGAGGAGGTATATATCTCGAGTCCGGATCCTCTCCAGCCCTCTCTCCGGTCAACAGCCAGGATTTGGCCACGTCACCCCTAACAAAATCTACGGCTCAAATTAGTTAAAAAAAAAAATGAATTTCAAAGAAGCTTGCTTGCTTGCTCTCTCTCTCTCTCTCTCTCTCTCTCTCTCTCTTCTCTTCTCTTCTCTTCTCTCTTTCCAACGGTGGACAACAACAACTGATTTACCCTCGCTGCAAATCATCAAATCCTGGACTGTTCCAAATCTCTGCAAATTTACCACCAAACATTGGTGATGTATTGAAAAATTTTCTTTCAACAACGAGGTATTGAAAAAATTTACCACCAATATAAATCATCAAGAAATTGGTAGAACACACCCAAGTGTTCTTCCAAATTTACCACCAATGTTTTAGAGATTTGAAAGAACACTCAACAAATCATCAAGTCATAAATGTTAAAATCATCAAAATCTGATGATTCATGCTAAAAAAATGGAAAATAAACAAAAAATAAAATTCAAGCCAAAATTTGAAGCAAACCCACTTTCTCTCTCTAAAATTCAAGCCACATAAATCATCCAAATTCAACACTCTAGTTCTAGTTGCTTCAATTTTTTTCTTTTCTTTGATTTTTTCGTTTCTTTCTTTATATTGTTTTTGGAGAGTTATTGATTTGTACATGGGTTTTACTCTGAAAAAATATCTGAAAATTTCAGATTTGGAAGAAGAATGAGAGAAGGTGGTGTTAGATCGGCCAAAGTTGGTAGGAGTGGGGTGGTGTAAAGGAGTCCAGCAGGTGCTGGCGGTTGTGGTGGTGCGTGAGGGTTGCCGAAGGGTTTGGAAAAATTCAAGACCCAAATGAGTTTGACAGTGAGAGGTTGTAACCCCCTCTTTGTGATTTGGTTTGTTGTTCTGCTATTCAACATTCAAAAGTTCCGCTATTGAAATAATAGACGAATTGCAAAGGATGTATGGTAGAATGTTGTAAAATGGTGAATTTAATTTAATGTGTGAATCAGACATGAATGTGAAAGGAAAAGAAAGAGAGAGTCCAAGCAACAAATGTGCATTGAATTTTTATTTTTTAAAACTAATTTGAGCCATAGATTTTATTACGGATGATGTGGCCAAATCTTGACCATTAACTAAAAAGAGGACTGAAAAAGATAGCTGGAGTGAATCCAGACTCATATCTCATCTCAGACTTCAAAAGTGTGAAGAACTTATTGATAAGGGTATTAGGTGAGTTGTCATACAATTCTAACTTGGAAATGACAAGTTATCAAGGAACTTTTAACTCATTTAGCTTACCAAGGAAACTTAAAGAGCTGAATAACTAAAATATATTTATTGAGCTGAATAATTAAAATATATTTATTTACTATATATATATATATCGGCCAGATTGGATTTAACCAATATTTTTTAATTAAATCCGACATCCGACCATAAATCAACATTTTTTCATGGATTTTAACTGATATTTTTTAATTAAATCCGACATCCAACCATAAATCAACATTTTTTTGCACACACTAATCAATATAAGAAGTCTCCAACCTCACATAAAGTTCTGAAAAATGCTAGAGAACCAAAAAGAGATATTTAGCAAAAATTTTGATAAATCTTTTGAAATATCTAACATTACTCTAAAGTTTTTTGACCCCAATTCAAGCCCATCTAAGCAAAAATATAAATATTTACTAATTCAAAGCATGAGTGCTCAAATATCCAAATTAGGTATGGGAACAGTCTGACAAGAGCAAGATAAAACTAAGGATAACAGTAGCACCAGATAGATAGACAACTAAGAATTTACATATTTCAGCATGTTTCTTATTTACATAATATCAGCTTTGCTAATGCACTCAGAATGATCCAAATGTGTTCTCGCCACTGTATGTCATGTAAAGGAAACCATCCTCATCTTTGTTTTCCTCATAAATTGCAGACATCATGGCAGCTGTTGCAACAAGAATACAGAAAAGGGACATGAGTACATGAATACCAACAAGCAATCATTAAATTCAGAAGCCTATGATGGTGTAAAGGCAAACATAACCGAAAACAATTTCTCACCAGTGGGTGGCAAAATGTTCTTCACAAAGATAAAGATGGCCTTCTCAGCACTAAGCTTTATCCTCTTCCGGACAACATAGACAAACTGCCCGACAGTCAAATCAGCAGGAACAAGATAAGATATCTGCAACATTATTATGGTATTAGAATATTATAGGCAACGGATAATAATAATAATTTGAATAGTATGTTAACCAATCCATAATGCATCTATCCATAGGTGTGACAATACTCACATCAAAATGTGAAAAAAATAAGATAAATAATAATAATGAAGTTTCAGACTCCAACAAATATGTTTTTAACTTTCCAAAAACAGCCCGCGGACTCCAATCTCCTTCTAACATTGGTGGAAGCCAGAGGCTTTTTTTTGCATTGCATTTATCCTTTACATATTGTCTTCTATTACCTTAAATGATTTCAAATGTTTCTTGCAAGGTGAGACAATCACATATCTTGCAGACTTGCAGATCAGGAAATAATTCAGCAGAGGAGAAAGTAATTCATAAAAAAAGTGTATAACGAGCAATGTTCGTAATATTCAAATTAAGCATATGGAGGACGATTATTGTAGTACTATACTAACTTCTTCTTGTCAATGTCAGGGATGTCACTCCTTTCAGCTTTCTCCACGATAACCTATGCATGAAAAAATAAATAAAAAAATTCAGCGAAGATATGCATAACATCCTACAGAAAGACAAACTTCCAGGAAAACAAAGGCAATTTTTATACTGGAATTCTATCTGGATACTTCTCCCTGATACGAGCAGCTTCTGCCAGTCTCCTTTCTGAAAAGTAGAATAAGGCAAATTTCAAACAAACAATAAATACAATAAAGACACATAAGGGCATCACTGGTATATTTTTCATTTTTTGTCTTCATTTTCCTGAAACACACAATTTGTTTGGCAAATTGTTTCCAACAACTGCTTTCTGATAACAACCCACTCTTTAGGAAACAACACCAAGTTGTTTTCCAATTTCAGGAGACTGTTTTCCTAATTTTTTCGAACTCTACTATTTTTTTGTTTCCAAACACTCGAAGAATGAAAACGATACCAATTAGGCCCTTTGGGGGAAAAAAAAGACTTCAAATATTTTTGCCCTTTAAACAAACATGTATAAAAATACTCTCATCAAATGTTCACAAGTGATCATGAATTTTCCACAGCTCTATTACATTATGAGAGAGACAGATACATAGAGAAAAGAGGTGGGGGAAATGGGGACTTCCTTTTGTGGTCATTGGTCTCCATTTGTTGCTTTTGTAACATAGATGGCACTTACCTTTAGTCCCTTTTGCCAAGGCTCCATATGCTGTAACTATATTCTCACTAGTGTTGATCATATTCATACCAACACATGGCTAAGAAAACTTTTACAAATCTTCTTCAACAAAAGATGCAAACAATATTTGACTCAAACATTGACATGAATACAATGTCATGCAATTAATAAAAGATGAATAAGAAAGAGAATTTTACCTTTATTTCTACTTGTATTACTTACTAAATCAGTCCACAAATTCCTTACATATTTACAGAGAAAGCATATGAAAATTCAAATTCATGAAATATTCGTAATATTCATAATTCAAAATCTTTGAAGTGTCAAACTGCCAATCCACTAATGAAAAACACGTTTTACTACATGCAGCAAGAAGAGGTAATTACCACAAATAGGAGTATAAATAATAATTAACAACAAAAAACAATCAAACCTCACAGAAACTGTTCTATATCCTCAAAGAAAATTCAATTTTACCCTAAATCTAAGCAAAGTTCCACTTCAAATGTTCTCAAAAGTATTAATTTCATGTTGCTTGCAAAGCCTACATGAATTGCAAAGGGTAGTCTAACATTATATGTTCATTGAAGTGACTGATAGGCAGTCCATAAGTGAAGACAATTTGCAGAAATGACATCACAAGTAGAAGAATATTTTTTCCCAAGTAAGTGAACTAGATTGCATTCAAACAATAACACAACCGATTTTGGATCAAAGACAAGCCAGGTACAAAAAATACCCAACAAAATGTGGATCAATGGCCCATAAAACACAAAAAAGTTAGGTAAAAACAAACATCAGACTCACTAAACATAAAATGCTTTCCACGACACAAGAAAAGCCAGAAAGAACAAACTTTCTTCGCTTAATAGAAGTTTGAAAGGTTCTACAGCATTCACCCATAATCCACTAGGGTTCAGACACAAAAACACGCACCAAAAAACCAAAAACAAAATCACTAGAAACCCATACCTTGAAATCACTCAATCAACTTAAATTAGGTAACTAGAAACCCAATCCACACACACACACACCACACACATAACCCAAATCACTAGAAACCCATATCGTGAAATCACTCAATAAACTTAAATTAGGTAGCTAGAAACCCAATCCACGCACACACACACACAACACACAAAACCCAAATCATTAGAAACCCATATCGTGAAATCACTCAATCAACTTAAATTAGGCAACTAGAAACCAATCCACAAAAAAAAAAAAAATCAAGACCATAAATAATTGCAAAGATTCAACAAGAAATTTCATTCAATTCAAATATAATAAGAAATCAGGATAGATATTCTATAGATCAACCGAAAATCTCAAATTGCAAGAGCTAGGGTTCAACAAAATCAGATCACAAGCACAAAATCTAGAGAGAGAGAGAGAGAGAGAGGACCGAGGGGGTGTTCCAACTTGAAGGAGCTCTTGGCCATGGCGATCAGTGAATGCCTACTGTGATACCCAAAACAAAGTTAAAAAGAAATCTCAAAACAAAAATTAGGGGCTTTTTTTTTGCGAGGAAAGAAAATACTGATCGATGATGGGAATAGCGAGAAAGAGAAGATTTACCAAACCAAAAATCGAACGATTGAGAAAAGAGAAACAGAACTTTAGGTACAATAAAGAAAGCAAGCAATCGAAAATACGTATATGAAATTGATTTTATCGCGTACGGAATCTAGTTTTGCCAAGGCAGACTTTGATCAGGGCAAGGAGAATTTGCAAGCAAGTAATTAATACGTCGACGTTTCGTCACTGTGTGGGCCCGAGAATAGGGCTTTGTCGGTTTGTTTGTTTGTTCAAAAGATTGTAAAAGCCCTTCTTTACTCAGGCCCAAGAGGCCTCAACAATCAGGGCTAATTTTACTTGAACTGGCCTCAACAATCGTTTGGGAATTAGCTTTTCAGTATTTTCTTATTTTTATGAAAAAAAACGTATAAAAATATTTAGTTTCCAAACAACTTCAGTGAGGTGCTGATGTATTATTTATTTCTAATAACGAAATAAATCACTGTGTTTGGTTTGAGTTTTTTGGATTAAATGTTTTAAAAATTGAGTTTTTTGATTTTCGTATTTTTTTGTTTTTAGTGAATATTTTTAAAATTTTAAACATTTTTTTTACTTTTTTAGATGCACCTTACTTAGATGTGTCTAAAAAGTAAAAAATTGTGAAAAAATATTTTAAAAAATTAAGAAATACATAAAAATACAAAAAATGTACTAAATTCTTGTATTTTTTGTATTTTTGGTATTTAATGAATTTTTAAAAGATTTTTTTTATAATTTTTTTACTTTATAAGTGTATTTATGTTAGGTGTGTCTAAAAAGTAAGAAATTTGCATAAAATATTAAAAAAATTTAGTAAAAATAAAAAAATATGAAAAATAAAAATGTAAAATTTTTTGAAAACTACTTTTAAAAAATAGAAACCAAACAAAGTGAATGTTTTCATTAGCATAGAACCTTATTCCATTTTTCAAATCTCGTTGAGTGCAAAAATTATTTGTTGTCGCTTGCAATATTGTTGCACTGACATCTCAACTGTTGATTAGTATAAATTGCACCATCAAGTGGGTGAACTACTATGGATCATTTGGCACTGGAGTTAAATCATTTTTATACATTGAAATATGTGCATTTCTACATAAATCATATGGAAGTTATTTGGTGCTTATGAAGTAATCATGTGGCTATGTCACGCACCAATCACCAAATGACATACCTCCTTCTGTCACTAATTCCAAATATAAAGCGGTAGGTCTTACTCTTTCCTCTAATCAAAATTGCAAGATCTCTAAATGCTGGCCTCAGTAGAGCCTCATTCATTGCAAATGACATAAATGTTGGAAAATGATTTTTGTAAAATCTTATTTTTTGTTAAGTTTGAACATTAATTAAGGTAGAATTCAAGCATTATTTTTAACGTTATTAATTGGGTTCATGTTTAATGTCGCGTAGTGAATAATATCGTGTACTTGGTAGCACAAAATCATTCTGGATGAATAAGAATTCAACGTGCGTTTTTAAGTTTGTGAAAATGATTTAGGTGGGTTTCTTATATATTTGTGAAATGTGTTTGTCCCACATTGGCAAGGCTTAAGAATTTGTATAGGTTTATATACTCTAACTTGGGATACTTGGGATAGGCCCCGAGGAGTACCCAAATTTGTGCAAGGGTGAGGTTATGGGTAAAGTAGACTATATCCATTGAACCCAAAATAAAAACCACACGTGTCCCGCCGTCATTGTCTAGTTGGGCGCGCGTGCATGTATGAGGTTGGGTTGAGCTTATCCGGCCCAATACTTATCTTTTTTGACCATAAACATTTAAATTTTATTTATTTATTTTTATTTTGGATTTCAAAATTCAAAATAAATTGGTCCAGTTTTTTTTTTTCCTTCACCCAAACACATCCGAACAGGTTCATAAAGTCCACTCGAACAGGTGCAAATCACACCCAAAAAGATCTGTTTCTGTTCTGAACAGATCTGTTCCTTTTCCTAACAGGTTTTTCCTGGTGGTACCTATTTTGGAAAGCCACCACGTTTCCTATAAATAGCCTGCATTCCAACATTTTATTCCATCGAATTTTTTGAAAAGTATTTCTTCTTTCTTCTTCCTCTTTTCGTCCTTCTGTTTCTGCATCTGTTCTTCATTTATTTTTTAGGAAGAAAAAAAGAGAGTTACAACAGAGTTTGGTTCGCAAGACTTGATTTTGTAGTGCTGCAAATCAAGTAGTAGTCGTTGCATCCTAGGAAATAGACGCCATTAAAACTCGAAGCACCAAAGCGAGGGCGAAATCTACTTTAAGAAGATTGTGTCCAAAACAAGCCTCGATTTACAATTTCTATAAGCAAGTAATTCTAAATTTAATTTATTAAATTATTTTCTAAATTATTTTATTTTATTAACTTTTTATTTACACACACATCCATTGTGGGATATAACAATAAATACTAAATTCATGAAAACAGATAGTTAAAGCATTATTTTTTTAAAAAAAATGATAGTTAAAAGCATTCCCTCAACTAATCTATTAATAAGAGATGCTTTCCACACTGTTGGGCCTGTTAGTTTTCTGAATAAAACTGTATATTAGTCTTGAATTCTATTGAACAAAGAATACATACATCATTTATATAGAGTACCACTAATTCCTAATCCTACATGAATACATTACTGAGATATATAGAAGTCTAATAGATATAGGGCACTTATTCCTAATCCTAGGAGAACACATATTCTCACACCCCCGCTCAAACTCAAGGTGTTTTAGCAGAAAACATTGAGAGTTTGTCAAGAAAGAACCGAAACCGAACAGTGGTGTGAGTCTTAGTGAAGAAGTCAGCAAGTTGCAGAGCCGAAGAGACAAAAGGAAGCGAGATAAAGCCAGACTACAGATGCTGAGGGACGAAGTGACTATCAATCTCAATATGCTTTGTCCGTTCATGGAAGACAGTGTTATGAGCAATTTGAATAGCACTTCGGTTGTCACAATAAAGAGAGGTCGGGGAAGATTGAGGGACGCCCAACTCAGATAAGAGATACGAAGCCAGACAATTTCAACAGTAGCATGAGCCATAACACGATACTCAGCTTCGGCAGTAGAACGGACAACAACAGTCTGTTTCTTGCTTTTCCAAAAAATAAGGGAATCACCAAGAAACATACAGAAACCAGAAGTAGATTTACGATCATTAACATCACCAGCCCAATCAGCATCAGCATAAGCCACCAAGTCTAAGGAAGAAGTAGAAGAGAACAGCAAGCCCTGAAAGATAGTACTGCGAAGATAGCGAAGAATCCGAAGCAAAGTAGCCCAATGTGTAGAGCGAGTGGCAGAAACAAACTGACTAATCACATGGACAGCATAGGCAAGATCAGGGCGAGTAACTGTCAGATAGACTAAACAACCCACAAGCTCGCAATATAACGTAGGATCATCTAGAGGAACCCCATCAGTAGTGTTGAGCTTTACATTAAGCTCGATGGGGGTATCAGACAGCTTAGTGTTAGTAAGTCTGGCATGATGGATAACCTCGTTAGCATACTTAGCCTGGGACAGAAAGTAACCCTTGGGAAAAGAAGCCACCTCAATGCCAAGAAAATACTGCAATGGTCCCAGGTCCTTCATTTCGAAGGTGCGGAATAGATGCTGCTTGACCTCAGAGATAGCAGAAGAGTCAAAGCCAGTGATGATCATATCATCTACATATAGTAAGAGAGCAACAAAACCAGCCGAGGTAAGTCTTAGAAATAAAGCATAGTCGGAAGCAGAAGGATGAAACCCAAGCTCGGTAACAGCAGTCTGAAAGCGATCATACTAAGCATGAGGAGATTGCTTCAAACCATATAGAGCACGCCGAAGACGACAGACTTGGTCAGAGGAATGGTGAAGACCAGGGGGAGGACGCATGTAAACCTCCTCAGTGAGATAGCCATTAAGAAAAGCATTCTTAACATCCATCTGACAAAGAGGCCAAGAACGAACAGCAGCGACAGAAATCAAAGTACGGACAGTAGTCATCTTGGCAACATGAGCAAATGTCTCCTCATAATCAATACCATACTCTTGAGAGAAACCTTTGGCCACCAGACAAGCTTTGTAGCGCTCAAGAGAACCATCAGAATGAGTCTTGACTTTGTAGACCCATTTGCAACCAACCAGATTCTTACTAGCAGGTAAAGGAACCAACTCCCAAGTACTAGTTTTCTGTAGAGCAAACAACTCATCCTCCATAGCTTGAACCCAATGAGGATCCTGACAGGCCTCCTTGTAAGACTGAGGTTCTGCAAAAGAGTGAATAGCAGACAAAAAAGGTACGATAGGAAGCAGAAAAATAAGTATTAGACCAACCCAACCTTTTTGGAGGATGACGCGCTCGAGGAGGATATCGGTGTGCAGCAGGATCAAAGTCGTCAGAAGCAGGAGGGTCAGCAGCAGGGGTAGAGACAACTGGTAGAGGAGGAACCTTGCGATGAGAATAAACTAACAACGAAGGAGAAGAAGGAGGAGAAGGCGAAAAAGGAGAAGTAGTCAGAGGTGAAGCAGGAGGAGAAGATGGAATAATTTCAGGAGGAACTGTGGAGATGTACTCATCAGATGGGATCTCAGAAGGAAATGGATCAATATGAACCAAATCCTCTTTGGAAACTAGGGCGGTGAGAGGAAGAAGCTGAAAGTAAGATAGACGTTCGAGAAAGGCAACATGGCGGGAGACATAAAGGCGACGAGAAACAGGGTCATAACTCGATAACCTTTCTGAGTGAGACTATATCCCAAAAAAACACATAGGACAGACCGGGTACTAAGTTTAGTCCTATCTTTACGGGGTAAAAGGACAAAACATGCAGACCCAAACACACGAAGGAGGGAGTAATTAGGAAGTTGAGAAAAAAGAGCCTCATAAGGAGACCAACCAGAAAGAAGGGGGGTAGGCATACGGTTGAGAAGAAAAGCAGCAGTAAGAACTGCCTCACCCCAAAACGGAGCTGGAACGGAGGCAGAGAGAAGAAGAGACCTAGCTGTCTCAAGAAGATGACGGTGTTTACGCTCAGCTAGGCCATTTTGGGCAGGTGTATCAGTACAAGAAGTTTGGTGAATGGTACCCAAGTTGGCCAAATATTCACAGAATTCAGTTTTAAAGTATTCCCCACCCAAGTCAGACCGCAACATTTTAATAGTAGATCCAAACTATGTAGTGACCATGGACTGGAAAGTACGATATATCTGGTAGAAGTCAGACTTATGAGTCATAAGATAAACCCACGTGTAACGGGTGCAATCATCAACAAAAGACACATAGTATACTGAACCCCCTTTAGTAAGAACAGGAGAGGGTCCCTAGACATCAGTATGCACAAGAGAGAAAGGAGAAACAGAAATAGATGTACTTTTATTAAAAGGTAAAGCTGACATTTTGACAAGTTTACACCCTCGACATTCATCAATTTGACTAGGAGAAACTTTACCCAACAATCCTGACTGAGCTAAAGACCATAAGCGGTCAACAGACAAATGACCGAGACGAGAATGCCATAAGTAAAACTGACTCGACTGAGAATCTAATTGAACCGAGGAAAGTACAGCTGGAGAGGTGGATAAGGGGAGATGCAAGCTTTCAACCACATAGAGATCTCCAATTTTACAACCGGTCCCAATCTGCTTCTTGGACACCCGATCCTGTACACAACAGACAGAAGAGGAAAAGATAACATCAAAACCAGACGCATCAAGTTGACTGATAGATAACAAACTAACAGAAAACTGAGGAACATAAAAAACAGAAGGAATAGTAACAGCAGACATGGCAGAGGGTAAGACAGACCCAACAGATAAAACAGACATACCAGATCCATTGGCAGTATTAATAGTAATAGGAACGGGTGGGGGAATACAATTTTGAAGTAAGGAAAGGTGAGGAGTCATATGATGAGAGGCACCAGAATCAAAAATCCAGACAGAAGAAGGGATACCTAAAGAGGACCCAAGCAAACCTGAATGAAGAGAGGTAAGAGCGGAGGCAGATGAGGATGACTGAGAGGTGGACAGGATATGCTGAAGTTGTGCAACCTGAGCACTCAGGGAAGCCAAGTCAAGATCGGGAGCCAGAGTAGATGCAGTGTAAGCAGCAGGAGGTCGGAAAGTACTCGAAGTAGGACCGCGGAACTGTGTCTGAGAAGACGGAGCAGGCTGACGTCCCTTTTTGGGACAATTGTTCTTCCAATGACCCCTCTGATGGCAGAAAGCACACTCATCTGGCCCTAATGGTCCTCTCTTGGGTTTCGCAGTGGCCTGAAGTTGATGAGGAGGAGGGGTCGATAACAAGGGTGGCTTGGTAGGAGCCAAGAACACAAAAGGAGGCAAAGTCTGACTGGCCGTCTTAAGACAGGTTTCCTCGGAGAGGAGTTCACGAATAATAGCATCCACAGAAGGAAGAGGAGATCGGTGAAGGATGCCACCTCGAATAGCCTCATACTGAGGAGAGAGAGCTGTTACGAACTGGACTAAACGACCCTGTTCCCGAAACTCAATATAAGCGTCTAGTATCTTGAGACTAGGTGGTTCCATAAGAGCCAACTGATCCCAGAGACCTGTCATCTCAATATAAAAGTCCTGAATAGTTTGATCCTGTTGACGAGCACTCTGAATAGTTGTTTCCAACTCATACCGCTTGGCAAAGTTGGACTGTTGATAAACACCGAGTAAATAATCCCACACTTCCTTGGCAGTACTGTACTTGGAAAACATCATTCCAATACGGTTATCCACAGAGTTATGAAACCAGGTAAGAATTTGGGCATTATCACAATCCCAAGTGTCACAGGAAGACAGATACCCTTCTACCTTTGGGTCCGATGGACGAGGAGTAGAACCAGAAACATAACCCCATTTTTTTTGACCAAGAAAAAAATTCTTCATAACACTGGCCCAATAGGCATAATTGCCACCAGTGAGTTTACATTTAATGGCTTGAATTCTAGGGTCCATTATAAAGCAAAGTTGTAGAATAGTTAGGTCAAAGTATAATAAAGGAAAGACTGAAGAACCAAACTGAGATGTGTCACTAACTCAGTTAACAGACGGAGCCAAGAGAACCAAACTAGAGGAGTGAGAACCTGAAGCCGACACATGCGAACCAGAATGAGAGAGAGAAGATGGCGAGTCGAATAGATGAATCGACCAGTTGAGTCGAACAGTTGCAAGGAATCAGATGAATCAAACCCAACCAGATGATTGACGAAGTAAGAAACTTCGTCCGATAACCAGGGTAGAGAGAGAGAGAGAAATCGCGAACCAGACTGTGCCAAGGAGAAGATTCACGACTGACGATTGATGAAGCAAAGGGCTCCAGACTGTGCCAAGGAGAAGATTCACGACTGACGATTGATGAAGCAAATGGCTTCGATTAACAATCAGGTTTGAGAGAAGGAGAGAGACCTACGGTGCTAGGGTTTCTCAACCTGCTCTGATACCATGTTAGTTTTCTGAATAAAACTGTATATTAGTCTTGAATTCTATTGAACAAAGAATACATACATCATTTATATAGAGTACCACTAATTCCTAATCCTACATGAATACATTACTGAGATATATAGAAGTCTAATAGATATAGGACACTTATTCCTAATCCTAGGAGAACACATATTCTCACAGGGCCTTGTTTTTTGATATCGTTTCAGCCACCAGTCATTCTTCTCTGTTAATTAATGTGATTATTAGCACTGAAATCAAGTTTTGTATCATCCCATCCCAGACACTTCCACTCAAAATAATTCTTACCCATTGTAATTTTTTTTAATCTTAAAATGTTTAATTTTCTTCTTTTTCCCCCTTTTTTTTTTTTTTTTTTTTTTCAACACACTACTCTACTTATAAATACAAAATCAATGAAAACTTGAATAAAACTTATAAGTTGATTTTAGAGGTGCAGTATCATACATGAGTTTGACATTCATTCATTCTCTTAAATTGCAGGTGTGGCACTCTTTTAATAGCCACATTTTGGCCATTTTAACCCACTTCTCAAAACGGCCTAACAGATACCAATCTACCAACACCTAAATAACTGTGCCAAGGTCTCATTTGGTTAAAAATATCTCAGTTTTAAGCTTAAATAGTTAGAGCAATTTTTTTTTTTTTGAAGGTGTCAATAAATTTTACAAAGTGGAACCTAAGCCTTTCTCATTAACTTAAGCTTAGCAATAACGGGTGATTAGGGAAAATCATAGGTACAATGTATCAGTCGGAGTCTGTGAGACAAGTCAGTTCGAGAAAAGCCTAATGTTTCGTTCTTCCCTTTAATTCCAAAAAAGGGATTGCAAAAGACACAGATATTAGGTATGCAAATTTTTCGACGAAATTTTTTGTCATTCACGTGAAGGATGGTATTGTCAAAGACAGCTGTCAGATTCTCATAATGTTTTTGTGGAAACAAACAAATTTTGAATGCGATTTGATGTATAACATGGGATGAATTCTAGAAGAGGAGTTTATTTATAAAGTTGGATATTGAAAAAACATGATCGTATTAAATGAAAGTTTCAACTTTATTGTTTGGAATGGAGAGTGTTTGGTAAGAGATGGAGGGATTGGATCAAATTTTGCATATCCAAACATTCATGGACACGCGTCTCTTCTATTTGGATGGAGGAGTAAAAGAACAGCAGCAGCAACGAATGTTGTGGTGGTAGGTGAGATGAGTCACAATGGAACAGAGTACAAACCATCTAGACTTTCTACAGAAAAGCCCTTCTACATTTTTTAATTCTTTGTTCACTTGTTTTTCTTTATTTTTTTTATGTTCATCGATCCTGATTAGGTGTTCAGAACCATAATCCCATGCTCTCTCTCTCTCTCTCTCTATATGCTAATGACAAGAAAAAAGGGCCAAAAGACATACTCTTTTAACAAAGTATAATTGATCAAAAAATAGTGTGGCATTCTTTGCATATAAAATTCAGAAAAAGTGTTTTTAAAAACTAAACATTGTTGACATTACAATGAGGCAACAGAGCAACCTACCTAGCTACCACAAAACAACCCATCCAAAAGGAATAATAAATGTATTGTATGTTTAAGTTGTTCTTTCTTCAACCTCTTTGTCCTTGGAAGGAAGAGGGGGCTCAAACATGCTAAAGACCCTATAAGCTGAGATCACAGCTAAGACAAAGAAACAGCAAAGAGTTAAGGCATGGAAAGCCAAAGCTATCTTCAACCTAGTGCAGAACGTTCCATAGGAACTGCAAGCTTCACTCCATGTCACATCCCTATCACCCTTGTATGCCAAGTATACAATCTCCCCCACTGCTGCCCCAGATGTCACCAGTAAGTATGCTACAACCTGCCCACCACACCACAATATTGAGAGAGAGAATTACATTAGAGGAAAAATATAAAACAAATACGAAGAACAATCTGCTTATTAGATTCTAATCTAGTTTTGGTTCAGTTTAATGAAGTAAAATGGTTATTTTGTTAGAATACTCATTCTGATATGTCGTTCGGTAAAAAGGAAAACATGTAAATTTGAAATGGAATCACCATTCATCAATTTATGAGAATAGTCATTCCATTTCCTACCCAAAATAATTTCAGCAAACCACAAAATACCTAAGAGGTTAGTCAAGTGACAAGTTGAATCGTGAATAAGTTTGATAAAAACGTAGATCATGAGTTCAAATCTCATGTACTTGGGAACTAGTCGAAGCAAAGTCTTGAATATCCTCATTATCCCCAAAAAAACAAAAAAATCTGATGAGTTTGGTGGGACAGTTCTGTCATGAAAACCAAACTTCACCAACCAAGTTTGGACTAAATGGAGAAAATGACAAGATCAATAATCAACCTCAGAGAAAAAAACAACAGTAAATAATTTTTCCTTGTAGTTTTTAAGGAACTTCTTGCAAACTTGTGATGGTATTGTTAGAAATCAAGAAAGGTATGAGGTAAAAATCAACCTGGTCAGAAACAAAGAAAAACCATGCTTTAGTTACTAAGCATTTGACCCAAGAGGACACAGCAGCAGCCAGAGCATACCCAGCAGAAATGGCACTGATGCAGACCATGTATCTGCACACACAAAAAAAAAAAAAGTGTTATGGAGAAATCAAATGGTTCCCATCATAAAAAATAAAAAATAAAATAAAGATAAACAATCAAACACATAGTATACGTGATAGATGTGGTTCGACAATCCACTCTATGCAATAAGGATTACAGAGTTCTCAACCTCTCAACTCAATCACTCTACAATGCTGTCACGCTCTTACAATAAAAACCCTAGTTGAAAAATGGCCAAATGGGCTCCGCCCTGCACCTCTATAAAAAAAACCCATTTACAATAACAATACAAGACACCTAACAACATAAAGCAAAATAGACATAAATTAAGCATAAGAAACAGCATAATCATATCAGCAGTGCTGCAGAGCTCTAATTAGAGCTGCACTGCAGCAGCTCTAATGAGCTGGCGCACATATAAAAAAAAAAAAAACAGTGAGGTAAAAGACAAAATATGAGGAAGAAAAAAGTAAATTAGTACTCTATTAGAGTACTCTTTTTAGAGGTCTAACTCATTTTTCTAATCATATATACTTCTTACTTGAGGCCTAGGAGATTGATGAAGTCTAGGTTCCCATAGGTGCTGTTGTCCTGATGGTTAGTCACAGTTAACCATATGGAGGCAACACTTACAGGAATCACAAACAACCTAAGAGAGAAATCAAGGAGCTTGAGGAAGGGTACATTGTCATAAAAAAAAGTTCTCATCTAGGAAACTAAAGACGAGCCCAAGAAACAGAGGTTGAAAAGGGAGAAGGATGAAGAGAGAAGATATGGAAAAGTTGTTTAAATATTGAAAATGGGTATTATGTGGGGATAAATATTGATCATTTGGATTGAAATAGAATGCTATGTGAGGGTCTAAATTTATGCACTTGATGGTGAGTTTGTTTGTAGTGGGAAGAGTGAGAAGTAGTGGGCCTTTTGCTTTTTCAGAGTTGGAATCATGCTACTAGGGTTGGTTGGTCTGATGTTATCTAAGAGAGGTGGACATGATTGATTCCACTTGCCTCTATCTTCTAAATCTTGAATTATGACTTCTCCATTCATAATAGTATAACTTAGACATGTTAAAACTAAATTGGAATGATGTAAGATTGACATTTTTAAAAATCGCAATAATAAATATTTTCATTTATCATTATATAATAAAAGGGTGTTTTGAGTTTCACTTTGACTAATTTTCTGGATATGTGTAATATTCTTGTCTTATATATACTGGACAATTATTGAGTCAAAGGCATTACTCTAAAAAGTGCGAATAATAAAATATTTAACCATTAATTAACCTTTCATGATTTTGAAGCCATGACTTCTTATTTGAGTGTCATGAGCACTGATCAACTGGGACAATTAGTTGATTCCCACCATGATTGAAAAATGGCCTTTGTGAGTGGGTTCAAGATTTTTATTTGAAGTTTGAACCATGTTGAGTTCAATAAAAATAAATAAATTTTGTTAAGTCAACTAGGAAAATATAGGCCAGAACTCACAGAAGTCATTTATGTGTCTTTCTCAATTTAATTCAGATGATTGATTGTTTTTTTTCCTTTTTTTCGTTGTTGGTAGATGGTGTAATAAATCAGTAGTTTCCCAGAAAGAAAGTTCTCAGAACTCTTTCTTTTCACTTCTAAAATTAAAACCTATCCTTTCTCACGAAACTTCTATATAAAAAGGTTTGATGCAAAAGTAAGTAAAAATAACTAATTCAATTTTGCCAATTCATACACTTCAAGTTATTTAATAGGGAGTGTATGAGAGGGTTCAAGAACGTCGTTGGAAAATTCGAACTTCGAAAATCCTTGAAGAACAACTTCGAATTCTCTAGAAGATGATGAGAGGCTTAGATTCTTCAATAGTCTCAACTTAAGAACACAAGAGTAAAGGAGATGATGGAGATAAGAGATTGGGTGAAGAAGAAGGCAAAGTGGCTAGAGAGAGAATAATGGCAAGGCTCTCCCATGGATCTCCCACTTTCACTCTCAAGGTTGATAATGGAGAAGGAAAATTAGTTCTTTCCCAATAGTTAAATCTCCAAAATTCATCCCTTGCAAAGTTATGGGTGGGTGCTATTTATAGGCACCTCATGATGTAGGATGGAGCCCATGTGCCTTACACATGGGAAATATTTTCTCTAACCACCTTGTCCGAGGAGGTGACCTCTCCGAGGATGAGGAAAACCTCGAAGAAGAGATCAACCTCTCGGCGAATCTTCTTCTTAGCCACACCTAACCAATGATCCCCAATCATCCCAAAGGGTCAGGGGTAGTCCCAGAGGACGTCCTGCCGCATAAGGGCCAGGGCAAAATGGCTAGTGAGAGAATAATGGCAAGGCTCTCCCATGGATCTTCCACTTTCACTCGTAAGGTTGATAATGGAAAGAGGGTTCAAGAAAGGAGTTGGAAAATTCGAAGATCTTCGAAGATCCTTGAAGAACAACTTCGAATTCTCTAGAAGATGATGAGAGGCTTAGATTCTTCAATAGTCTCAACTTAAGAACACAAGAGTAAAGGAGATGATGGAGATAAGAGATTGGGTGAAGAAGAAGGCAAAGTGGCTAGAGAGAGAATAATGGCAAGGCTCTCCCATGGATCTCCCACTTTCACTCTCAAGGTTGATAATGGAGAAGGAAAATTAGTTCTTTCCCAAGAGTTAAATCTCCAAAATTCATTCCTTGCAAAGTTATGGGTGGGCGCTATTTATAGGCACCTCAGGATGTAGGATGGAGCCCATGTGCCTTGCACATGAGGAATATTCTCTCTAACCACCTTGTCCGAGGAGGTGACCTCTCCGTGGATGAGGAAAACCTCGAAGAAGAGATCAACCTCTCGGCGAACTTTCTTCTTAGCCACACCTAACCAATGATCCCTAATCATCCCAAAGGGTCGGGTAGTCCCAGAGGACGTCCTGCCGCATAAGGGCCAGGGGTAGTTCAAAAGAACGCCCTGCTGCAAATATTGCCGAGTCTCAGGGACCCCCTAGATCGTGCCACCTCGACCTGGGTATAGGCTAGTTTCTATGTTACATGGACTCGGGTACGGGTGTCGGGTGCGGGTATGTATCTAGAGGTCGGACTCATCAAATCATAAATTTAAGGATACGCGGACTCGACAAAAAAATGTCATATTTTTATATTTTTAATCTAATATGTGAGATAAAATGGTATTATATTTAACTTATAGTGTCAAAATGACATTTATAGCAATTATACAACAATATGTATATATAATAATAGTGTTATATACAATTATATAAGAAGTATCCGTTGAAAAGTATCCGACACATATCTCATACCCTTGTCCGAGTGTCGGGTGTCCGACACGGGTATTTGATTTATTTTGAAGAGTCCATGTAACATAGGCTAGTTTAACCGAAGACTAAATTTATCTCCACTCACCGTCCTCGGGATCGGGTCCTTTGTTCGGACTCCATTACGCCCATGGTTCTGGTTCGTAGATCCCGGAAAGCTCCGAGCCTGCAAGTGTTCTGGGACTCATTAACGGAGCGACTTCTAGATTGCGTCTGAATCCATTCGAAGCCAAGTGCTTCGGATCTCTAGGTTCGTGCATCCGAACCCTTTCGAGTCCAAGTCCGAGTCCGAGCCCGAGCCCAAGTAAGTCTTTAAGTTCGTGGATCCGAACTCTTTCGAGGCTTAGGGCGATTCGACCTGTTTGATGGCGATAAATCCGGACCCACCAATCTTGGACTTGCAATAAATTCGAGCCGACCAACCTTGGACTATTGGGCCTAATTAATTTAGTGGGCTCAAAGCTCCTCTTACAGGGAGAGAGAGAACAAAGAAGAAGAAGAGAAGAAGAAGAAGAAGAAGAAAAGTGCAATAATATTATATTTAGTTTATGATTTCATGTGGCATATTCATTGATACAATGGATCTTGCATGGACTCCACTCTCAGATCGAATATAGCTATTTTTCACAAAATTTATTTTAGCAGAGCAGTCGATGGTTAGGTGGTCCAATTTTGCCTTACAAACTACAAGAAACTCCAAATGCGAGCATAGATTGTTTGTATAGACAAAATTCATCCAATAATTATAAATGTGTCAATGTCATGTGAGATGACAAACTAAACTTGGTATAAAGAGAAGATAAACATAACATCATTGTAAATAAATAAATAAAGGTTTTCATTTAATTTCATTTGATTTTTTTTAATTAATTGATAACACTATTACACGCTCAATATTTTTGGATAACTCCTATTCCAATTTTGAATTTTACTTCCCAGAAAAGCCATAACTATGCCCCATTCCACCAGCTAATCTCCAAATCTTTACAGGAAGAACTTACTTTTATATTCTTAAGCAAACTTTTAACCTCATGAGTCATGGATACTTTGAGTGAATCTTACTAAAGAAAATAATAATAATATAATGGTGATACTAATGACCTGGTAGTTTTGTTATGGCTATGGTAGCGTAAACACTTATCAGGGTGGGATCTTTCATCTGGAGAGAAGACAAGAATGTCGTCAATGTAGACTGATAGCTCAAACTAGTTAATATATTTTTACTCAGACCAGAAAATATGATACAATGAATATATGGGAAGGAAAAAAAAAAATTGACTCGAACCTGAAATCAACAGAGTATTTCATTCACCAGATCAATCCTTAATTTCAGATGCGAAGGATGTCATGCACATGGAAATCCAAGTCATCATTGAACCAGCACCAATTTGCAGTGTGGCTTCAGCCTGAAGTAAAGAAACCATTAAAAAGATAGCACTCTTTATCACTAATTGAAATTGCAATCATGAAAAGGAGATAAAAACTAATCAGAGTTTCAAAAACAAATACACATCGAAGCAAAAAGCAGCAAATGCTTAGCCAAAAGGATTGGCACTTTATTATGACACTCAAGTCTTCATATAATAGACTTCTAAAAAATGGTTCTCTCAGACTAATTTGTTGCTGTTAAGGCTCTCTCTCTCTTCTGCTAAAATGGAGAAGAATCCCATCAGCACTCTCTCTCTCTCTCTCTCTCTATTACACATTTTACAGTTTGATGGTACAATTCTCTACTATCATAACCGCTGACACAAGCTCGTGGATTGTCTTGCTTCCTCCAGAGGTTGGAAGACATGCTGCCCCTCAGAAAGCGGCACTCCACAAGGCATTTTCGCCTTCCCCACAACGTCGATGAACCTCCTTGATCCTCTCAGCAGACTTGCAAATCCCACTGCAGCTCCAATCAAAGGAAGCAACACAGATGTTGCCTGCCTGAGCTTTCCACTCGCAATCTGTGGTAACAATTATCAACAAAATTATTAGTTTCAGATTCTACAAAAACTTACACACCCTAGCACCAAGAACATTCTCTTTTTTCTCTCCTCAGTTGTTTTTTCAATTTTCATAGCAATAGCATGGTCATAAATCAGGTGAGAAATTGATAATACGATATAACTTGACCCTAATTATTCTCATTAAAACCTTCAAGAAATTGATACCATTACCGGGTGGGGTTCCGCAACATAATCTCCTGTCATCTATATGCTCCACATCCAAACCAATAAACCAAGATCCCAAGGAAACATCCTCATTAGCATACTTGTGTAGCACATGCCTGAGACGATTACAATAAAGAGTAAGAAGATATTAGAGAAATCAGTATACAAAGAAAGATGAATCACTTTTTTTTCCAAGTGTAATGGTCACTTACTGGTTTATTGATATATAGGAAGCCAAATCTTTCGAAATAGCATAAAGTTGCCCTGTAGCGTGACGGAAATACTTGTTTCCCCCTTCACCAAATTTCCAGTACTCGGGTTCGTGATATCTTACTCCCCTATATACAAAAAGAAAAATAAAAATTAATGAAAAGGACACGCAAGGGGAGGATCAAATTCCCAACATTCTTCTATGAGATTACTTTCACAAAAGCTTAGCTTACTTTTGAGCAAGAACAGGACCAGACTTCATGCATCCAATATACACCCGGGGTTTTGACTGATGCCTCATTAAAGTTGCTCCTAGTGTTGCTGCACTTGTGTGAAAAAAGTCACATAAGAAAGGATTGAAAAAAAAGGAGAATAAAAAAACCTCACAAAAATATGACAGACCAAATCCATGTGCAAGATCAACAAGTACACTTTTTTTTTTCTTTTTCTTTTTTTCCTTCTTTGGAATAGTATGTGCAAGATCAACAAGAAGAAAATAAATTACCATTATCTCAAACTATGCTGTAAAGAGTATACTTCAAATTAGGGGGCTTAGATACTACTAAACAATATTTTCAACATCTAAGCATAGTAATTCAATATTTTATGTTTCAAAACATATATGTGTACATCATACATATACTATACAACAAGAAAATTGAACTTCAGGCAATTTTTGCAAGACCAAAAAATTAAACAAATTCTTGAACTTCAATTTAATTCACATTCCAATACGTGAGAATGTTAGTTGATATCTGCGTCTTCCTACCTATATTTACATGAACATCATCATCAACTTTTACATAGAAATCCGCATCCCATTGAGCAACAGCTGTGGTAAAATATATCTTCGTCTTGGCTGACAGTTCAAGGTACCCCTCAACATGTTCCTATTCACATTATAACAGGTTAGGACCGATCAATTGCTTTCCCTGATTAACATGTAACGACAATATCAGATGAGATAAACAACTGAAAGAGGAACAAGATAGAATAGCAGTACCAGCCTCAAGATGTCTCCATGCTTTTTTTCCTCTGCTTCAATAGCTCTATCAAGAATACCACCTGACGTAGCACTGATGACCAAATGTCCAATTGGAAATAAGCAAGGAAATTAGATTGAATCCGCTATGAGTTGCTATAGAAATTATATAATGTGGAAACGTTCACATAAAAAAATTAATAAAACCATTTGTCTTTAGTATTAATGGTCAAAAGTTTGCACTACCTTTCCGCATTTGAGCAAAATAGGGTATGTTCTCAATCCTAAATATCATTTTGAAGAGGGCATGTATCAGTATTACTGGACAGTCCTTCCCAAAAAGAGGTGGCGGTACCATGGTAATCCCACCTTAAGATTACAAGTGAATAAGAAAGTTTTCAATCCTAAACAAGTGAAATAATAAAGATTAACGAACCGTCAAGAAATATACATTGGGCTCGCTAGTCCAACCATGAAACATACAGAAAGCCAAGAAAGGAGAACAACAGAGTAATCTTGTGCCTCGCCAAAATGCTTTAAAATCCTGCTATGCAAGGTAAGTATGATAAAATTTAGGCTAATCAGTTTCCGGTAATGAAGAAATTTTTCATTATTTAAGCCTATTTATGCTAAGACTAAATATTTCAATTTTTGCAAGGCGATACAAACTATGACTTGCCAATTTTTACTCTGATTTGGCGAATTTTGTTGTCCTTTGACTACTCTGATCATTACAAAGTAAATAAATTTTAAAGTAGTTTGTTTACTAGTTGATGTCATGTCCCCAAGCCACATTAAACATCTTCACCTTTGCGGGTAAGAAAAAATGGTAATAATCTATAAAAGCTCTAGTTAAACAAGTGTTTTTGAAAATCAATTCACAACATGAACACATTCTCTAAATTATAACAATCGAGATGTAGAAGGTATTTTAAAGTTGATAATTATAAGCCCTTTCCAAGTTATTGTTTAAGAAGTCAAAAAGGTAAAAAACTATTAATTTGAAGAAGCATCTATGCCATGATTGAGATGGTGATGTCACATATAACTATTTTCTCTATTTTAATTTGGATAAGTCACAATAACAAAGTTTTCTTTATACACACTATAACATACAATAAAATCATTAGAAAAATAGGTATACCATAAATTAGACAGCTTTGAATGCTAACTATCAAAAAAAGAAGTATTCAACTAAAATTGGGACCACATCCACACAGTACCAGAGATGGCCAGACAACAACCATCAGAATCCAAGCTTTCTCATAAAAGAGCATTTATTCAACAGAAGTTCCAAATAATACAAACAAGACTAAAAATAAGAGAGATGTACTTAATCAAGATCAGCTTTGAATTTTCTCCATCACCTACCTGTGACCTATCACAAATCGAATTATGATACCCTTTTCTTCCTCAAGTTTCTTTCGTTTATCACCTGATTTTCATACAAATTAAAAAAATAAAAAAAATAGTCACGAATCAAATCTAATTAATTCAAAGGATAATTACAAAAACAAAAACAAAAATGCAGGGGATTTTATGAACCTTGTGGCATCCAAGTAGCACGGACTGAGTCTCTTCTCTTTCGGCTGCTAAAAGCAGTGTTAACACCTATGACCATTAGATATTTTCTTTTCCTATGAGGTTCTGTAATCCTCAAGTCTTCGGATATGGGAGAACCGCTAAGAATAGAATCTTGTGCAGCCCTTGCAGCAGCTAATTCCATCTCCAAATGGGAGATTGTTTTATCAAGTGTTCTGCACCGTCACATATGGCAACAAATTTTGCATTCATGTCAATGGACAAATCAACAGAATTTTCGATCTCAGTGAAGTTCAGCTATGATGAAACCTGAGTTAGCTTACTGTATGGCATAATGTGTCTTTGAAACTTCTACTAATATGTCCTTTGACTCTTTCTTTTCATCCTTCTGGTAAAACCATAAAAAAGTAAATCAGGTTGGTCCCAATAAGCCTCTAAATTGGAAAACAATAATTAGGAATTTTTGAGGGAACCAAAAAAAGAAGAGAGAGAGATGATTTCTGTGATATCAATATGTCATCAACCCTCCCGTGTCCGAAGTGGGGATAAATTCCCAAGTTATATAATTAATACAAGTACTCACTATTCTTGGATCGCAGTCCTCCAAGGCAAACTTTAGCATTTTATGTTCGATCCCCGTTCTCCGTGGCATGCCTTTAACTTCTGGCACAGTCCACATCCTATTACCAAAGCATCCTGATTATTATGAAATGTATACAAGAAGCCTCTATGCAACAAAATGAAGAAATAAGGAACAATATTAGTCATCAGGCAGCAAATTCTAACCTACTTTCAATACAAACCAAACTAAGCCTTGTGTCCTAATCAAGTGGTATAGGCTACATGAATATTTTTTTGCCATTCTGTTCTATCACGTATCAAGGGTTATATGCTCAGTTCATATTCATATTAGGATTCATGTCATAAAGGATTTAATGGGGATTTTTACATTCTGGTTGTCAGGCTTCCTACTTCATTTAGTACAGATGCTAAAAATCTCAATATGAGCTTTCAATTCCGTACTTAAGATATTGATCACTACATGCTATAGTGCTAAGTATTTAGAGTGCCCAACTGACAAGTTTCTTTGTCCTGCAGCATCTAACCTCTACAATTGTTAAGTTCTTGCATATGAGTCGACATAAAACTTAAGTACTTAAGTTACCGCTGCCTAAGTTCCAACATTAGGATGGTGTAAACAGCATATTACTTAGTCCAAAAAGAGCCATAAAAAGGTATGGAAGGTCAATAAAGATGTAGGCCAAATTGATTTAAGCATATAGGTGTTTTGATGGGACTTAAGGCTTGGTTTGGTTTGGTTTTTAGGTGTTTTGAAAAACAACCGATGTGTTACAGATTCAAATGTTGCGTTCACATTATTGGGTTTTGGCACGTTGCTTACATTCTAATTGTCAAGTCATGAGAAATGTCACATTCAACAAATAGGGAAAAGTATACATCCACAGAAAATAAAATAAGATTCAAGGTGGTTGAGTTGAGGAATGAAACACATAAAGCAATATCACTACACCAGCAGAAAAGCAAGTTGGAGTAAGACAATGACAAATGTTCTTTTCAAAAATGATGTTGGTAGATATCATCCTAAAATTTGTTCCAAAAAAAATAAAATAAAATAAAATAAAGATATCATCCTAAAATATTAAAACACACGCATCACAGCGGCATTGAACCTGTCAATTTTAATTATCCAATCTAGATTTGTAACAAAAAGTTCAGATCATTCCCAATGTTTAGACTCAAATGGACATAAATAGGCACCTACTTTATGCATGTGAGAGATAAAGCATAATGGCAGCCAAAACAACACATTCCACACCAAGCTTGGGCGTAGCTCAAGTGGTTGTACCTCTAGGTTTCTAGAGGGAGATTTAGAGATATGGAGAAATTTATGCTTTAAGTGGTTGTACCTCTGGGTTTTCAGAGGAATTTTGGGGATGCGAGCTTATGGACAAACATCAAACATCCAGTTAACTTACTAATTTGCTAACATCAAGAGTATATATATATATATATATAAAATAAAAAATAAAACCCCCAACCCACATTGAAAAGACCACCAATGGATTGGTTACACAACTAGAATTTTCAGAGAAAAGTTTGGAGTACGAGTTTATGAATAAACAAAGGTTAGGTTGTGCTAACCTACTTTACAAATATGCTAAAATATATAAATAAATAAAAACATTCATTCCATTCCATCTGCACTACCTGAAAAGTCCTAGGAATCCCCAACCCAAATCCAGAAGACCACAAATGACAAGAATTTACCATCGTCACCATCTCAAAATTCTTATTACGACACATATGATGAGAGTTCACAAACCCACTGACACCTAAATCTGTAAAACCACTAAAAACAATAACCAAGATTCCGATAAAACAATTGATACCCATTTCATTAAATTGAACATGTCGGGCATAGAAATCGAAATCAATTGAAGTCATCAATTGGGATTTTGAGAAAGATTGTAGATAACCTGTCAGAGAAGAGCATTCCAACACAGAAGCATCCAATACACAGCAGAAGAGTCAATTTTCGAGACAAAACACTCTTTGAGTTTGACTCTGCTCCTTTGCTCTTCCAAGACATTGCGGTCTTGTTTTCTTTAATCAATCAAGAGTGAAGATAAACAACAGAGAACCATTTGCGAATTCTGAGTCAACTCGGATCAAGAAACTCAGAAACAGATCCGAATAACCATGTCCTCCTCTCAATATAACACCAATCGACCTTGTAAATGGCAAGAAATATAAAAATTAGCTTTATACACACACACACACACACACACTCTCTCTCTCTCTCTCTGGGTTTCCTTATGTTGAGACAGAACAGAAGAAGCAGAACTTAACAAATAAAACAGGAGAAGTAGAACAGAGAAGCAAATATAGAAGGATAAAAAGATACGTATTTTGTCAAAGACTTTGCCTCTCTAGAAAGAATAGAATTCTGTGTCTAATGGGTGAGAGAGTTTGGAGTTGGAAGAGGGGCAAAGAAGATGGTTGGAGGAGATGGTGAGTAGGAGAATTTGAGAGGGAGACTCACCAACTAGAACTACTCTCTGTCTTCTTTCTCTCTCTCTCTCTCTATAGACCGTGATCAAGAAGAGTAAATGTTAATATTTAATAAACCGTCCGTAACAAAACCTCCCTTGTCAGAAATGTGGGTCATTGTTGGAATTACTCTAATGACCATAATGCCTTCTTCTCTTATGTCGGCTGAAGGTGAAAAGCTTGATAGTGTTTATGGCTAAGGAAAAAAATTGGCAAAATAACCAAAGAAGTGTTGCAATGTGATAATGTCTGGAGATATGAATTTTGAGATCTGAGATTTCCTTCTTTTTAAAATCAGTCATTCGGATGACAGTATATGACGAAAATTTTCAGATTTATACAAAAGCATATTTAGTGCTTGGGGTGTGAATTCTGTGACATTTCAATTGTTTAATTGATTTAATATAAAAATTAGATAAAATAAAATATTTAAATTTATAATTATACATATTAAAATGTAATATAAAATTAAAAGTATTGTTACTATCAAACCGTGGTTAAAAAACTGTTTGAGACCAAATCAAAATAACCTTGAAAGTATCAAACTATTTGGAGTCAGAATGAAATTAGGAAAAAGGGAAGCAAAGGTGGCATTTCCAGCAAAAGCCACTTGTAAAAGAGTTAAGGCATGAATGGTGATTCACCTTGGTGCTCGGGTGAATCACCTCCGTAGGCTCCAATATAGAAGGGACCATGACAGCAACTTGAGAAAAAAAGAACAAAAAAAAGAGAAGGCAATAGGTGAGGGGAGTCGCGAAAATTAGAAAAAATAAAAATAAAAATAAAAATAATAAGGCCATTATTAAAATGAATTATATTATTATATTTTAAGTAGTCACAAATTATTTTACATAAATTATGTTTTTTTAAGTATATTAACATTCAATTATGTTATTCGAACTAAAATTATTCATTATTTAGCCTAAATAATTATTCATGGTGATTTATATACCATTATACTCTTAGTATAATATTCATCACTCTGTTATGTGCTTATAACTGTTAAAATCCTTTCAGTTTAAGAAACTTAAGGAAGAATAGTTTGCCCCATTAATCAGGACCTAGACTTGAGATGAATATCGTGTTTTTCTTCTTTTTTTTCTCTTGTGTTTATTTGTAATTTTTATCTGAATTATGTTACATAAATAGTAATTTCTATGCACGCTTCAAATATTTATTTACATCTTTTTCATTTCGCTGTATTATTTAATATAGTTACTTCGAACTAATCTTAGAAATTTTAGAATTTAACTAGTTGAGAATCCAACCCTAGGCACCGGGATGGGTCATGACAGATTCGAATCCCCACCTAGCTGCGAGTTCGCTACTTATTGTGCTACATGATTGAGTAGCCCTGCTAACAGTACCCGGTGTCAGGAGTATAGGTTTGAATCTTTACCTGTGCGAGTTTACGATTTACCGTTACATAATTGAGTAGCGTTGCTATGTAACACTATCTAAAGGTAACATCTTGGGTCTCGACTCCTTAGTGTTTAACCCTAGAAATTACCCTATGTGATTAGAGTTTTTTATAGTAATTTATGGCTAAGGAAAAAATTGAAAAAAATATTTTTAAATTAGTAGTAAATTTCATAAATATTAAAAAATAAAATTTTAAATATTAACATAAATTTGCGATTAATTTTTTAAAGTATTTTTGACATGTAGTTTTTCAAAAAAATATATATAAATTATTTTAAATAGATATAATTCGAATAATCGAAACTAAGAACTATTAAATTAATTAGGCTAAGTCAAAAATATCATTATAAGTTATTATATCACTTTATATAAATATATATATATATATATTTATTTATTTATTTATAAAAAAATCAATTAAAATAACCAACTCGCGAACAAAGTCTTAATGTAATCTTATATAAAAGAATCATGTTTTGTTTCTGATCAAATTTTATTAAAAATCTACACTAAAAAGTTTTGATTGTGGTTGACTTTTTCTTTCCCTCGCTGGGGTCAACTTTGAAAATTTCACAAAGATTTAGGCCTCGTTTGGGAACAGGTTAATTTAGTAACTTTTTAGCTATTTGACTAAAAATGTAGGTAAAAAAAATTTGTATGTTTGCGATGACTTTTTGGCTAATTACGAAAAGATGTGCAAAAAGTAGAAAGAAAAGAGAATCTTTGATTTTTTGGTATGAGTTGTTGACTTTTTGACTAATTTAATAACTTTTTGGCTAATTGGCTAAAAAAGTAAGTCCCCAAACGGGGCCTTAGGATTGTTTTGAGAAGTAGGGTTGTTTTGAAAAGTTGATAAAAAGTTGACTTTTGACTTTTTATTAAGTTTTTGGTTTTTTTGAAAGTGATTTGAGAAGTTAGTAAAAAGTTGACTTTTTTGCTTTTTTGTTTAATATTTTGTTTAAAGTGTCACATCACTCTAAAATGACCAAAATATCCTTACTTTTTGCATCTCAACAATTTTTTGAATTAATTAATTATAATGTTCCAGAGGGTAGTTTGGTAAATTTGTAAGTGGCTTTTTTGGGTCTTCCCAAATGGGATTAGTGGCGTTTTTGCAAGGGTTGGCGTTTTTGGAAAGTTGCTCAAAACGTAGCTTTTTGCTGCGTTGCCAAAACGGCACGTAGTTAACAACTAATTTTTTGGTTTTTTAAAAAATAATATATAAAAAATAAAGAAATAATGTGACTTAAAAAAGATTAAAAATCAAAAAATTATCTTTTAATCTCTTCCCAAAAAGAGACCTTACTTCATAGATGATAAATGACTGATCATGGTGGCGGATTTCAACCCCTTGAAGGGAAATTATTTCATGATTACATAATATTATGTAACAGTCTATTTGATTAATGATGTTTTATTTTTATTTATTTCTTTCGGGTTATGAAGGTTACACATTTAACATAATATTTTGAAAGAAAAAAATAATTATTCCCTGTCAAAACTTTGTAAAATTTATTTCCTTAAATATGAAATTTGTAGCTGGCCATGTTTAACAACTAGGGGTTGTTTGAGATTTGATTTTGTTTTTGTGTTTTTGATTTTTTTTATGAAGTGAGAAAAAATAAATATGTTTGAAAACAATTTTTTTAATTGTATCATAAATTATAAATCACTTTCAAGAAAAAATGACACATTTATAAACTAAGGGTTCGTTTGGGAAGAATTAAAGTGGGTTTTTTTGGCTATTTTAGCCACAAAAGACAAAATAGACTATTTTAGCCATAAAAAACAAAACATCACATCCAACCCATAATCATTACACTATTCTCTCACAAAAAAAATCAAAAAAGTCAAAAAGCCGAAAAGTTCTTCCCAAACTAAGCTTTTTAGCCCAGACTAAAATAGTTAAAAAAGCTAAAAAGCCAAAAAGCCAACCCACTTCCCAAACGGAGACTAACTGAGTTCATGCATTCAATCGAAAGTGTATAATTTACAAGTCGGTCAATTTTAGCGTACATTTTGACTTGAGAAAGAGAAACATTACTCTTTACCCTTTAGTTTTTTTTAGAAAAAAAAAACACAAGGCACAAAAACATTGTGGCAATGGGTCCCACCCACTACCACATCATTAGTGGTAGTACTAATTAGTGCTCCCACTCATTTTTCATAATATATGAGTCTTTTGGGAAGAAAAAAAAGAAGTCAGTTTTTAATTTTTTTTTTTTTTATTCTTTTTGAGTCAAGTTATCTTTCATATTTTTTACACATAAAAAAATAAAATAGATTAAAAAATTAAAAAATTATTTTTTTACCAACTTTGTAAAACCGCACAGTAATAATAGTAGTTGACATAATGATACATGATGATCTTAAATAAAGGTACCTAGAAGGAGACGCAGGCTCTTAAATAAAGGTGCTAATAATGGGTTGTTGTTGTACACATGGTTCCCACGTGGCTCTCCTAATTGAATTTTAGACATAACAGGTCAGAATTCAACTTCAAATACCAAGGGTTCGATTGGGAATAACCTTTTAATTTTTTTAATTAATTTAAATTAGTTATGTTTTGGAAGAATTTTTTAATTTTTTTGTGAGAAAAAAATAAAATAATTATGATTTAGATATAATATTTTATCTTATTAATTTTTTTAACTTATTTTTATCTTTTTGTACTTTTTTAATCTCAACCCACTTGTCAAACAGATAAACATGGTCTTTAATCTCTTGTGTTTTTTACATTTCAGTTGAATAAAAAAAATAATAATAAATTACATTCACACCTCCTAAGATTTAAGCCTGATTTGGGAATAGACCTTTTTAATAATTTTTTAGATTTTTGGTTAAATTATGATATAAAAAAAAGGCAGTGGCTTTGGTCCAGTCCAAGATCGGACTGGACCGTGCTGTTGGGTCCGTGGAGGCCCACCACAGGTCCCGTTTTAATAATCTGAACTGTTTAATGTGTAGAACTCGTCGAGCACTATATGTCTGTAAAAAATTACGTTGATCGGATATTGATAGTTATGTGAACAAAACAGTTTTTTATCAACCGTTAATTTTTTCACCGTCCATTTTTTTTTTACAAAACTGATTTTATCACATAGCTATTGATATCCGATCAACGTGATTTTTTACAGTCATGTAGTACTCAACAAGGTCTACACATTAACGGTTTGGATTATCAAAACATGCTCAAAAAAGGGCCCCATAGGCCGAACTGGACGGGTCCAGTCTTGATCTCAACTTGAGACAAGCTGGGCCCTAAAAAAAACTAGTATGTTTGGGATGACTTTTTAATTTTTTTTACGAAAAGATGTGCAAAGAGCAGAGAAAAAATATAATCTTTGACTTTTTGATATAAGTTGTTGCTTTTTTTATTTTTTTAATGACTTTTTGACTTTTAGGCAAAAAAGTGACATTGTCAAACGATGTCTTAGTCTTATTACATTCCACCCTCTAAAATTATAGAAATTATATTCCTATCATTATGGTTTATAGTCTTATTTTCACAAACTTTACTGCTTGTATAAAAGGCAAAAACACCTAGTAAAAAAAAAGAGGAAATTATATCGGAAAAAAAAAGTAAAGCAAAGGAAAAGGGAAAAAAAAAGTGACATTGTCAA